GAAACGCGTTGACGCACTTCCGGTTGCCTGGTCCGTCGTCTGACGTCATTTCCGGTGAGTGGAGCGCACGCCGAGCGGTGCGTTCCAAGGGGCCATCTTAGTCTAAGGAGAAGAGTCTGTAGCTGAGGTCTGCCATCCTGCTGCACACTAAACTGTGGGGTCCTTATATAATCCTTATATAATCGGTGTACATGAAAAGTGGATCAATTTTGAAGAGAATCGCTGTTGTTTTGAATAAAAAGCGGGCTATATCCCGCAAAAGAATGTGAGTGGTCTGGAGAGAGATTAGATTAATTTAAGGAGAAGTTACTGCGGTATCACGCTATGGTCTTTTCTTCTTCCTGATTTTCCTTTGGGGGATTCGGTGAGAGGAGTAAGCAGAAGAGGTACCTAGACATGAGAGGAAACAGCACTTGGAGGTCTCAGAGAAAGTAAAGGGGGTCGGAGCCCTTAACAATCCTGAAAGGCGTGTGACTCACCATTATCTGGTGAGTGCGGTTAATGTTGATTTCTGCACTGGTGGATGGTGAAGGGATCCGTAACACGGAAGAATCAAATGGAAAATATATTATAAATTAATTTGATTAATTTTGTCACGGGACTTTAATTATATATATATATATATATATATATTTTCTGGGATTTTTCTGATTTTTTGTCACTTTGATTTTTTGTCACTTTGTTTTTTCACTGGACTCATAATTTTATATATATATTTTTGTATCAACATAATTTATATATAATTTATTATATATAATTTTATTAGCACATTTATGTTTTTTTTACACTGAGTAATGTAATTGATCATGTGGGTTTGCGCTGGTTTTCATTGTTAAAAGTTTTTTCTAACCCACACTAGTCAGTCACTGCCTCATCCAGTGTTCAGCCATATCATGTGCCAGCTTCAGTCTCCATCCAGTATAACCAGCATGGCACTGCACCAGCCTCTGACCAACCTCTGTCAAGTCTGTGTCATCACTAGCCTTGGATCTGCCTGCTTGCCTTCTAGCCTCAGACCAACCTGCTCTCCTTTCATTCCAAGCCTCCAATCAGTCTGTTCCTGTGTCAACTCCAGCCTCAGTACAGCCTCAGTACAGCCTGTCTTTATGGCAGCTGCTCTGTTTAGCTGTTCCAGTCCATCTTTCCTTTGTGACAGCTATTTCAGCCCAACCTGCCTATTAAACCAAAAACCAACAGCTTACCAATCCTTAGATGTGTATGTTTTCTTTTTTTAGACTTTTTCCTCCTGTATTTGTGTGCCCCTATTCTGGATGAAGGAGTACAGGGGCCCACTTGCAGAGCAGCATTGTTAATCTTGGGGAAGGGGAATATAAAATGGACTAGCAGATTTAGATACACTAACAAACTGAGGCTGAATTCCAGATTATATAACGCTTTATAAGCTGTTAAAAACAAGGAGTTTTTTTTTCCTTTTGGGATAAAGGTTTTACATAAATGAATAAAGGTTGATCATTGTAAGCACCCCTGTGAGTGGTAAATGGTTTGTCTCAACCTTCAAACTGCTAAACTTGCAGGAGAGCAGGTTATTTTGAAAAAAGCAGACTTATTGGCCAGATCATCAGGTGAAAATAAAAGAGACCCTAAAAATGAAACTAATGCAACCATCACATCTAACCAGCAATATGTTTGCTTTGGGTTTAATACCACTTTAAAGAGGGAGGGGCAGGAGTAAGAACAAGGGCATATGGTGGTGGCACTATTGTGAGATTTGAATGATGTAGTAATAGACGATGTCCAATTATGTTCACCAGTGTCTCCCAGCATAAGCAATTAATTACCACCTGGTGATGGTTGCTGGTTGGGTATTTAGCCTTACCTCAGGAGTCACACAGTGTCTCAGTATTTTGCCTGTGTGTCTATGTTTTCTGAATCTGTTACTCCCTGAACCTGTTACTCCTTCTGACTCCTGTTCCTGACCTATTCTTTCTTGTACTCCTGCTGGACTCTGTTCTACTTTATTCCCCTTATCCTATGTACATTGCTAGTTAGTTATTTTCTACTTTTGTGTTTGCTGGGTTGTGTATAGGGTGCTGCATTTGTGTTTAGTGTCACTTGTTAGGCATCTCATAGTTTAATTTCAACTGAGGAAGCAGTGATGTTACCCATGTCAATCATATGACAGCATTGGGGCCTTAGGATTGGGCATATTTTTGCTTTAGCTGAAAAAGACGAAGGGGCAGTGGGGGATTGTTGGAAAGGGGAGCTTTACGAAGACAATGTCACTTTTTCTTGAATGGGCAAAGTGACAGAGACTCTGTAAAATGGAACTGAAAGCGGATTGTAAGCAGACAGGCTATTATCGGAGAAAGACACAGTAAATACTAAAACTGAAGAGTGCTAAGTCTGATGAAGCTCTGAAACCAGTCAGCTTCCAGGTTTTATTGTTAAAGCTTAACTGAACATGTTGAATCTAGAAGCTGACTGACTACAATTCACAGCTGCACCAGACTCTGAGTGCACCAGTTTTAGTAAATCTCTCCTACAATGTCTCGCCTGCAATAAGATATACCTAAATGCCTACTCGTAGTCTTCTGTGGCATGCAAAACTGAGCTGTGCATGCATAGCTCAGTTTACATCTCCGGCACAGTCTCTGTGTGCTGGGATTAAGAGTTACATCATCCCATGCCAGCCAATAGGGATGCCTAAAGGCTGGAACCAGTTTAATGGCTTAAGTTCTGCTTTAAGTGTTAGGTTTAGTATTGAGTGGTAATTTTGGGGGGTTATACAAGCCTAAGGGTCAGCAACATACTTAGAAATCATTTTTGGAGTATTTTGAAATAATTTTTTTTGTGTGTGTGTGTGTGACCAATACAAGAGGAAATATCACATAATAAAAGCACTAGTGCCAAATACATACATGTTTACTCACATGCAATTTTTTGTTGCACCAAAAACTTGGCATTTTTAGACCGTGAAAAAACACTATAACTCTGTGTACTTTGGATGGCAAATTAGCTGTTACACATAACTCAGCTTTTTTCACTTATGGTGGTAGCCCCTAAATTATTTATAGCAAGTAATTTTGAAAACAATATGTGGACTTCTACATAAACATCATGCCTTGGAGCTTTCACAAGGTTGACTCTTTTTGCTCTTGATAGTAGAACAATTAAATGACTTGTGGAAGTTAACCTGTTGGTTTGGCAGTCATGGGCAAAACACAGGTTCATTTTAAAGGAGACTGTCCATCCTTTGAGTTCAGATTCTTAACAGTCAAAGATTATACGTGCATTTTTTTTCAAATAAAACAGATTTTATTCATTAAGAAAGCAATATACCAAACGAAAAAGTAAAAAATATTACGTAAATGCTGAGAAGAAAAAGGAAAGTGGAATGATTGCATATATAATAAATAAAATGCAATTTATGAGAATATGCAAAAAGTCCTTGTTTACGTTTCTTAATTTGTTTTTTGTACAGACTCATTATTCTTTGATACTTGAATAATCATCTAGCTGCATTTTAATATATCCCATCTTAATGTATCACCTTCCCCCTATATCTACAGACTTGTAATCAGAGGTGCTGGAGTATCACTATTCACTACATATGATCGGACCGTTCACAGAGCCTTCCAGCTAAGTAAAACTGACAGCCACTTTATTCTACTGAAATCAAAGAATCACAATATGGCAGCTTTAGGAAAGGCATAATTGACATAATATATTTTTAAATGTTTGTTAGTGCCATTACTTGCTGTTGATAATGAGGTGGATTTGGGTGACCTTGCAAACTGAAGATTACATGTTTCCCAAAAAATACGTTCTCTCATGGGAGCCTTATGTAAATTGGTTAATGAAAAGCATAATGGACATATATATTTAAATGTTAGCTAATGCCATTACTTGATAATGAGGTGGATTTGGGTGACCTTGCAAACTGAATATATTACATGTTACCCAACAGTCAAACTCTTCATGGAGTATGATCCGCATCGATTCAATGGAATGCCATATTCAGATGGTTCTACGCTTGCCAACACAATCCATGAGATTGAAAATGCAACCTGGAGCCTTAAAAACATGTATGATCCCTTTATGTCAAAATAAGCTTAACCAAGCTCCTATATGTTGTATAAACCCACCATCACTATGACTACACATCACTATGATCACACATATTTAATTAGCTGAACCAAATTTTTAAAAAATGTCCCATCTCCAACATGGCAAATCCAAGAACAATATGTACTGTAAGAAACACATACATAAATTACTTTTCTTCACTGCCATGGTTCCATCCAAATCCTTCATAAAGCTTCTGTGGTAGGATTCAGTTAGTGGGTGTATCTCACATATTGAAGGGCCGAGGTTACCATGACTTTCATTCAATTCAAAGACAAATTAGTGTTGGCATAAAATGAGCAAATGAATGTTTATTTCAATTATCTACTCTCAGAATGCAAATGCTTCCTGTGTTGTCCAGGCTGTTAGAGCATAAGCAACAACATTCAGCTGTTCATTTTAGCAAAAAACATTTCATTTGAGTAACATGAATAAAAAAATGAATTCGCAAACAGATTTTATTTTTATGCTGTGTACCGCTGTCACAAACATATTATGATTCATTTTTCCCCCAATTGCAGCAAAAAATTAAAACTACTCATATATTTTGGCATCCATCATTTCACTGTTTTGGCAAAATAAAAATGCTGCAAGGTTTATTTAATTAACAAAAATGATCTTATTTTTCTGAAAACTCCCATAGTGGAAGCTGCATTAATACAAAATAGTACATGTTATAGAGTGAAAATTTCAACCTGCGTAGTCCATAGTGGCCTCTTACACACTGGCCCATGGAGCCGAGAGGGGATGAATGCAGAATGTTTCCATAGTAACCATCAATACAAACGCGAGGAGAACAGAGGCAACACAAGAACAAGCTTCGATTTCTGAGTCAGATGCTCCTGAGATTCTGTGTAGCTTCGATCCCAAAAGGATTAAGTGGTGCTCTAGAGATTCCATAGATGACACCCCACTCATGGATCATTCTGCGATATTGTTTGAACTACTGGATCGGCAGTGTTTGCAGAGCTTTTCCATAGTTCACCTCCAACTACAGCTCGAAACGACCTTCGGAACTCTTCATTCTTCCAGGTGTATATGAAGGGGTTAAGCACAAACAGCAGACAAAGCAGGAGCCAGCTGCCAACCACAATCCCACTGGGTAATGGCTGGAACAGGCCATAAAGGACTGACCATGCAAAGGGCTCTGTGGTCAGGGTGAAAACACAGCACACAATCAGCACGTACAGTCCCAGACGTTTGTCCTTACGAGGGCAAGAACAGGGCAAGTTATGGACCACCTGGAAATTGAGAACACTTACCCGCTTTAGACTGACCTGCACTTTTCTGAAAATGCGGAAGTAGCAATGAAAAAGGATGATTGTCTGACTCAGTACTGTGACGGCAGAGAGGATGGCCGTGTAGGAACTAGACACCGGGACCTCATGACCCCAAAACACATAAAGTCTGAGTTGCGGGCAAGGGAAAATAACATCATAAGGTCTTTGTCCAAAAAGCCAAGGAAGCAAGAATGCAAGCGGCAATACCCAAGCCATGGCAATCATCCACTCCGTGTTCCTCTTCTGATACACAGTGTGGTAAACTGTTGGCAGTTTGGTGATGAGAACAAAACGATTCAATGCAATCAGTGAGTGCGATAAGAGAGACACTGTCATCCACAGGAAAAATACCCCTTCCATGAACACTCTGTAAGAGGGATTCTCCAGACGACCAGTGGATATTAATATTGCTTCTTGAGGCATCCAGAAAGCACATACTAGAAGATCTGAAACGCAACCATTCACGATGAATGCATTACTGGTCGTCTTGAGTTTCTTGAAAGAGCAAACTAGATAAATTACCAAAACATTGGCCAAAGTGCCAGAGACTGAGTAAACAGAGTATGCCGTAGCCACCAGTACACGTGTTCCCAAGAGCCCTTCACATTGGCCTGGGGAAGAGGTGCTGTTGCTCATCCTGTACAGAATGGAAAAGCCATGCCCAGAGCAGATGCACAGGAAAAAGAAAAGGTAAAAAGGACACCGAGGGAAAGTATATGTGTGAGAAAGAGCAGTAGAGTGAAGCAAACAGCGAGACGGAGAGAGAATATGAGATTGAGGAGGGAGGGGGTGACATGGCTGTGACAGCTTTCCGTGTTATACTCTCAGCTCACTTTACGTCTTTGTGACATTATACTCTTGGAAAAAAGCTTTTGTAATGGATTATTCAACAGGTTCCGAGGTAGAGAATGAAGAGCTGATTCCACAGTCGATGTAAAGTGCATATCCCTCTTCAGTGTCTTTTACCAGAAAACATGCTGAAAAGCGAAAAATGGCTCATTATAGAAGGACAACAAAAGTACGTAAGATTCAGCAGTGCATCATAGGCAACTAAATGAGAGATCTGCTGTAAAAGACATGTAATCTATGTTTCTGCCTTTATTCACCGCTTTTAATTGGGAATTGTTGCCTGAAATAAAGCAATTACTCCCTCTTTTATTATAATTATTTTTTATGGGTTTGATCAATAACGGGTTTTGTTAGAAGATTCATCTAAGTACATTCCATAAAGATCTGTATTTTCTGAACAGTGGCCTGAGACTTACATGGGGTTTTCAGCTCCTGTTAGAACAAACAGCAACCCCTCAGTCAGAAGTTAGGTTTCTGTTGGTTTGAACACCTGTTGGATTATGCTGTATATGGGCGAGATCTACCAGTAGATCGCAGCCAGGTGACTGGTAGATCGTGGTCTGGACTTGTTGACCCACCTTCCCAGAGTATCAGAGTGCAATGCAGAGGGACTACTTGTAACGTTGAAGCTGTAGTAGGGAGCAAGAGCCGCATAAGCTGATGCCTCCTCTGTAGTGCTGGCTCCTGTCCCATGTGGAGTGACACCAACTGCACTCCACCTCTTATCCCAGCTAGTGGTCTTCAGAGTAGTGCCAGCAGGAGGAAAGAAGAGATCTTCAGGTCAGTGTGAAGCAATACACTGGGCATATTAGCATAGGGCTGCTTATACACTGATGTGTTGCGGTTTATCCACACTGCGGGTGCAGTGCAGTGTACCTGTAGCTTTCCTGTGGGTTTGCTGCGCTTAGCCATAGACTTCTATTATATCAAGTGGGTTTGGTGCACTTTCTGAAAGAGCACCACACCTACAGGATATAATAGAAGTCCTCTGAAAAGCGATTCGAGTGTGTTTGACAGGTAGTGAGGAAGCAATACGTTGCCTCCTCACCACCTGATTTAAACCCATGATTGCCGTGCAATGAACATGATTGCGACACAGTAGTACTGCAATTAAAGGTTTAAGTCAGGTGTGAGGAGGCAGGGGCGGACTGACCATTTGGGAACTCGGGCACTGCCCAAGGGCCCAGGGTCAGTAGGGGGCAACATGAGATGCCCCTGGTACCTTTCATAGGTTTTTTGGGAGTGGTTTGGGTGTGGGCCAGGACACAGGGGCCCCATGATCCCCTATTGCCCGGGGGCCCCATGAGTTGTCAGTCCACCCCTGTGAGCAGGTAACACTGTGCCCCAGTGTATTTATGTTTTGTGCTGCCCTAGACAACACAAAAATCCTGCACCCCACCCCAGTGGGAGAGAGAGTTAGTTCTTATAGCACTCACCATCACAGCCAGAGATCACCGGAGCGATGATTAGGAAAGCCTGGGTGAGCTCAGCCAGTTATCTGGACATCCTCGGAAGCGACAGTTGGGCTCTGACATCCTCAAACAGCCCGCTGTCTCTTTTGGATCCCATGTGGTAGAGCAGAGTTCATGCAGTTCTTCACTGGGTCCATTCCCCATCTTCAAGTGTGTCCCTTCTTCCAGGGGGCACTCCGGTGATCTTTGACTTCTCCCATGTTTTTCAGGTAGACCTCCGCCTCTTTAAGTATGCCTAACCCTGCTGGATACTTATTAGGTATACACAGGGCTGGTGCTAGACTATTTTGCGCCCTAGGCAAGACCAGCTACTTGTACCCCTCTTTCCCCTCAAATTTTCCCCCCTAGCACAAATCTTCTCCCCAAAATGCCCCCTCCTAGCATAAGTCCCCCCAATTCTGCCTCCTAGCACAAATTCCCCTAAATCCCTTTCCTTGTACAACCCCCTCCAAATTACCCTTCCCAGCACTAATCCTTCCTCCCCACCCAAATCCTCCCTTCGAGCACAACCCTTCCCAATTCCACCTTCTAGCACAATTTCCCCCCCCAATCTCGCCTCCTAACACAAATCTCCCGCCAATCCCAATCTCCTAGCAAACATTCCCCCTATCCCCTCTCCTAGTACAAATTGTCTCCCAAACCCTGTCTCCTAGTACAAATCCCCCCTGCTAGCACACCTGTCCCCAATCCCCCCTCCTAGCACAAATCCCCCCCAATCCTTCCTCCTACCACAACCCCCCCTCCAATCCTCCCTACTAACAAAAGTCCCCTCTAATAACACAAATCCCCCACAGTGGAAAAGAATAGACAAGGGCGCACTCTCATCGTGCATTACCGTGGTATAACATGTATTTGTTGAATAAAAAGAGGATATATACTCAGAAACCAACGTGATATAAGGCAGTAAAAGTAGTCCACAAAGACAGTCACAATGCATCTGTTTCTAATGATGCAGATAAGCTAACGCGTTTCGGGAGCTGAACCCCCTTCCTCAGAGCTAGAGATGTGCCTGCTGGCCACAAGCTTATATACTAGTGAAATGTCAGAAGGACATTTCACTAGTATATAAGCTTGTGGCCAGCAGGCACATCTCTAGCTCTGAGGAAGGGGGTTCAGCTCCCGAAACGCGTTAGCTTATCTGCATCATTAGACACAGATGCATTGTGACTGTCTTTGTGGACTACTTTTACTGCCTTATATCACGTTGGTTTGTGAGTATATATCCTCTTTTTATTCAACAAATACGTGTTATACCACGGTAATGCCCGATGAGAGTGCGCCCTTGTCTCTTCTTTTCCACTAGTGGTCAGATTCCCCGATCTTAGAAGGGCAGCACCTCTTCAGTTGGCATTTTGGCTGTATGAAGACTGGAGCGCCGGTTTTGTTCGTTTATCTTTTGGAGTGCATTCACAAATCCCCCCCAATCCTCTCTCCTAACACAAATCCCTCCAATCCCCTCTCCTAGCACAAATCACCCAACAATCCCACCTCCTAGCACAAAACCCCCTCAATCCACCCTCCCAGCACCAATTGTCTTCCCTCAATTCCCCCACCTAGGACCAATTCCCCCAATTCCTTCCTCTAGCTAAAACCCCTCGAAATCACCATTCTCAACATAAAATCCTTCCACTTTACCCAGATACCCCCCTTGTAGCAAAAATCCCCTAAACCTTCCTCGTACTCCTAGCACATATCCCCACATTCCTTCTCCTACCACAAATACCCCCCCCCCCCTGCACAAACCTCTCATCTCAGCACGAACGAATGATTGTTAGCCACCCTGCCTTTCACTGTGTACAGTTCTCATGGCCTATAAACTCCCAGCCCCCCGAATTTACAGGCAGCAAACCAGGTAGAGGTGTGGGCTGTGTTCTCACTCCTGTCAGTGGAGTGATCCTCTGCACAGCAGATGACATAGGATCACTCTTGGTTTTGGCTCTACGCAATTTTATTACCCCGCCCCCTATTTCCTCCACTGATCGCTCATCTTTCAGCAGCAGGGAGCCAGGAAATAAATCATACACTGAACATGCCAATGTAAGAACAATCCTGTGTCACCTGCTTTATGGAGGATCACTCCACTGAGACGAGAGGAGATCACAGCCGCACCTCCTGGCTCTCTCCTGTCATTTTTTGTTTGCAGGCTTCACTTCTCCAGGTTGCTCTCCCTTTGTCCCAGCCATTAATTCGGGAATGGGAGAAGGCACAGTGTCCATGAAAAAACCGACCTGGGGGGGGGGGGGGCACAACTGAAATCTGGGGTACCATTGCCCATCCCAGCACCCCCCTAGACCTGACCATAGCAGAGAGTAGGGAAACCAGCGGTCAAGGCTGTGCCCTAGGCGGTAGTTCAACCTAGGCGGCTGCCTAGTTTGCCTAGTAATAGCACTGGCCCTGAGTATACACAATATACAATATTAATCCTAATATCAGTGAAATTCAAAATATTAGTATTAGAAACATTTTTGTTTGACTTATATTTATATAGGATTTGCCAGATCATTCATATATTCAAAGAGCAGCACTCGCCCTATTCATAAAGTTTATTTCCATGTACAATGGTATAATAAACCAACATTTGTTTGGGAAAAATATATTCCCTGACATTCCACAACTTCTCTTGGGAAAGGGTGCTTGCTGTAACCTTTGTCTTATTTATAAAAGGGTGAATTCACCTGACATTCACAGAAGACATTTAAAAACAAATGTCTTCAAATATTGTGATGAGGTAGGGCACAGCCTGTGATTTACAGCCTCAGTTCTGTTCCTGTGTGAAGGGGGTATGTCCCTTCCCTCTAATCAGCTCTCAGAGCTCTCCTCCCTGAGCTTTGCAGAGTATAACTTTAGCTCTCCGCCCCCTTTTTCTGACCGCTCAAACCAGCTTTATAAATTATGGACTTTGAACAGCTGTAGGGAAGAGATTACTACAGATAAACAGGTACAACTTATGTGGCATTGTTTAATATCTGTGTATCACCTAAGGCCAGTCACTTCACTGGGTATATGTAAGGGCTTACAACCACTTTAAAGCAGAACTAAACCCACCTATCCTTTACAGCGAAGGAAGATGCCATCTTAGCCTCTGTTTGATATTCAGTGCCATGGTGCTACACATCTTATCGGTTATGACACCAGCCATTCTATTGCTTGACAGTTCAGTTGAGAGAGTAACGCTTCAGTGACTGTGATCATTAATGCCCTGTCTTGAAGGAAACTGTTTTGGGAATCTGTTAAAGTGGAACCAAGCCCTCCTATCCTTTTCAGCCAAGGAAGATGACATCTTAGCTTCTATTTGATCAGCAAATGCCATGGTGC